AATGAAGCGAAGAGCGGGAGAAAAGCTGCCTCTCTTTTTCGCTCGCATCGGTTCCGCGAATGGCTGGGAGCGATCTATATATTTTTTTGAGACAATATTTAGCGCGTTTCGGCGCTGAACGCGTCGCAGATGCAGAATGATGCGCGTTTATTCCGCTCGGCTACCATTTTATTTTCTGGCCGTGCAGGCAGCCGTGTTTGATCGGCGAAAAATGCAGGGTAGAAGTCGCGCCTCTATCCGGGAAGCGGGAGGAGGAAACATGGGCGATCTAGCTGCCTGTTATTGCCGTGAAAAATTGCGAACTTGGGGAGAGGACGTTTGCAGACGCGGGGAATCTCTCTCGCAGATATACGCGGAGCCTATACGTATTTATTACGCTACGTGTTACGCTATGCGCGCGTATCATGAATATATCACTGGCGAATCGCGTTAGAGCTTCTACGTGTGTGCACGGATAAACAATTCACGTGCACTTTATTCCGAACCCCGAATTAAAATGCGAAAACGAATTCGTTTCCTTCGCTCCTCTCTTTTACCGAAATCTCGCCATTTCTTTCGATCTCTCGATCCAACGATTAATTTACCATTTAGTCCCCTCCATCTCTCTCCTTCCCGCTCCGTCTTCGCGTATTATAACGAGTCGAAATGTATAAACAAAATGCACGTCGAGTGTGCAAGCGTTCGCGCATGGACGATCGCGTCGTCCGGTACGAATTATTCCGAGATGCAAAGAGCGTATAAAATTCGTTGAGCCGTTTAAATCACATTATGCGCCGTCCTCCGCATCGCTATGCAATCGCGCGAGCGATCCGTCCTCCATCCGCTATCTCTCTCTTTTTCTCTCTGTCTCTCTCTCTCCCTCGGTCTCCCAACAAATATTGTCACCTTCGAGAATTTATATCTCTCGACGGCTGGGACAGGAACGTATGGAATAATGGAACGTAGCGCGTCGCCGGTATAATGACACGACGGTCGAGAGGGTGGGTTCCGAGGGAGGAGGGAGGGAGGGGTCCGGTAATTAAATTAATGACGTAATAATCACGCGCCTCGCGACCGAATAAATAATGGTCTATATTAATATCGCATCTGAACGGGATGTGTGCGGTTCGTAGGAACGATCATGCGCATCGAATCGCATTTTGCGCCTGTGAGAGCGTCGGGATCCTGTAAACGACAAATAACAATTGCCACCGTCGGATGACGACGATTCGCGATAACTGTATTTGGCCGTGGTAAACATGTAAACGCCACTGCCGAGAGGTTTACAGTGTTTTTCCGTTTCGCCCGAACGGAGGTGAAATTCGTATAGCGTGGAGGATGTCAAGCACCCCCTTGAATTGTCGATCCCCCCGGACGCACACGCGTTTATATGAATCCATGTGCCATTTCCAATTATTTTTTAATTATCGTTGTAATAGCTCGTTAAATTTCCGCGAGTAATTCGTGAAAATACTATATTTATCGTTACCGTTGCTACAGCGGTACCGATTACGCGCGGAAATATTTTTCTCGGCTCTCTTTTCGTTAATTCATTATTCCTGGTTATGTAGTTTATAGTATAAAATGTTGCGAAACGTTCTACACAGTGATTATTTCATTTGTTAATGTTACGTCGAATACATTTATTCATATATACTTTTTCACCCGGGACTCCTATTACATTTTTTATTGGACAGAGAACGCGTATAATATTTTTCCCCGTCGTTTTACAAAATGTTGGATAAACGGTGTGCGAAAAACGTTCGTTTTTCTGACGTATTTTTAGAATTTAGATCCCGCGCATACAAAATTATATTTACGGACCCGCGTAAATAGCCACGCGCGTCGACTATTATTCAATTTATTACGATCGGTGTTTCGTCTCGATCTCGCTAATCCGTCTTTTTCATCTTTCTCGGGAGATCTCGAGAACGATAATAGACGCTTATTTTTCAGATTGTTACAAGTGCACCTTCATCATTCTCCGCGCGTCGACGGAATAATAAACTTTTATCTTGATTCGACGCGCGAGATTCCGTCCCCCTCCTCCGTTTTGATCGCCTCGTGTATAATTTAATATTTTTAGCTCCGAAAGGCGCGCTGCAACACAAGTCTTTCCAATTACTTCAATTACTCTTACGTGTTGCGTCGCCGTTGTACGATATATTCGTATCACAACTCTGTTCGCTTTATCGCGTTCCGCTCAAGCCCTAATGATAATGACAAAACCCATTTTCTTTCGTTTCCAGTCGACTCAACCCTTTTGCCGCCCTCGCCGACTTCTGCTTCGAGCATTACGCCATTATAATTATTCCGCGAATTTCTTTCTTCCGACCGGGCATTGACGGAATAATTAATAAGCATCACGCTAATTACTCAGCGACTCGGGGTATTATTAATATTTTCTCCTCACCTCCGCGCGAGTAATACACCCCCAGCCGCACCCGACGTGACGATTAATCATTCCACACACAGGTAAGTTCTCACACATTTATTTCTGCGTCTGCACGTCTCTCTATTAGACGGCGCGCATTTAGTCGAAAGAAGAGAAAGAAACTCTGTATACCGTATATGTACCGTAGTGTCGCATCTCTAATTAGAGACAGAGATCATAATAATACCTACGAGAAATGAAGAGACTTTGTACGCTCGTTATATCTTTACATCCGCGTTTTTTTTCCGCAGCCAAACATATATATACATATATACATATTTATTTTTTTTTTACTTACAATGCCAGCTGAAATACACAGGAAGGCGATCGATATCGCGAACGAAGCACTCTCGGTCGCGCGACCAGATAACCCCCCTTCCCACCCTCCTTCCCTCCCTCCCCCCGTTCGAGAGTCACTGAAAAATTCCATCTTCCCGCGCGGATATCCCGGGTGTCCTATACCCGGGAATAATCACCCGAAAGGGAGGTAAAGAAAATTAGTTTCGATCGCCCGATCCCGCGAGTTCCCGCGTATCGTCTCTGCCCTCCGATCGGTGAATTTCCGGGTCCGGGATTTACGCGACCCGGGTTTTTTTATCAAGCGCGTACTAAAATATTCAATTATGTGCTCCCTTTTTTTTTTTCTCTCTTCTTCCTCCTCTTCTTTTACGAGGAGACTCAGTGGCGGTTCGCCGATTGAATGTAAAATGTCAAAAGTCGAATATTTCGCTATGTCGGGCGAGTTACGTACTATTAATTCGACGTTCTCATGAAACAACTTCGCGAGTCTTCGAGTTTATACATTGTTGCTCTTTTATAAAGTGAAACACCCCAATTTCAGAACTAATTGTATAGAAAATTAGTCGAATGAAAATTAGCGACGAAGAGTAGTAAAGTATTAATACGATCGATGTTATCGAGAGAAACATTTGCTCGAAGAGTTACGTCAAATATACCACACGCATTAAATATAATTACAATAATTCCACTATATAGAGTGTCTTAAATCTATCACATAATGTTTTTTTAACAGTAGACTCTCCGACTAATTTAAAGTCGAGCTTCCTTAGCGAAAATGTCAAGGGAAAAGATAATTTGTTGCAAGTTTCCAATTTTTTCCATCATATATTTTTGTAATTAAGTCTCAAATTAAAATTCTATTAAAGTAAACTCTATTTGAAATTGACTGAAGAATGTAGTTTCGTCAACCTTTCAACTCTACAAAGTTTCGCTCTACAAAGCTCGCGAAAAGCAATTCTTTTTTATTCTTTTATTCGTAACTCGATAAGAAAAAATCGTCACCGAACTAAGTAGAAAATCTGCCATCAAAAGAACATTCGACAGACATCGATTTGAGACATTCTTTGTAATGTATCGATGTGATTAATTTTTTACGTCCGGTATCAGTTATTTCTCTATTCTTCTGGTAAATTACGTATATTCCTGATAAAACAATATTTTATTAAGTATATAGCGATATTATATATGAGTACAGATATATCGCATGTCGATTGACCTGTTTCGTGATAGTACGTGAGTAAATTGGTTTATATTGTTGTCGAAGTTCTATTCGCTACATTGAGAGCGTCGCAACTAGTACAAATAACTATTTTATTCAGTATTGTTCCCGAGTTATTAATACTCCATTATATTGAATTACGCGCCCTATGCGGTATTTTTTCTCTCCTCGATTCGCATTTCTCGTTTTTACAATTTTTTTTTTTTCATTATCTAGAAAATGGGTTATGAGCGGCATTTCGACACGGTCGCGTACAGTCATGGCTATCATTGCGAAGGTTATGCATTATATTTTATTATTTCCACCTTACGGTTCGTCGACTTGCGCGCGTAATAGCAATATTTACGTACCGTCTGACTTCCGCCGAATTGCCTTTGTTTGTTTCCCAAAATCGACAGCTTAACGCTTATAAAATAACGATTGCCAAAACAATATTTGTTGTTTACACACATTTTCGCGCGATAACATGCCCACCCGTTACTCCAATAATAAGGCTAATGTGATTATTATCTTGTTCTTAAATCGACACTCAAACCGGTTACTCGAGGTATGCAAGGTGCTCGCAAGGATACATTCCAATTACGTCGATCAATTTCACCCATTCATTAGAAAATCACTGACCGTTAGTTTCTGCAACTCTTCCTCTCGGTACAATAAGTACCCATTAGATTCTTATGCTTAATTGAACGTTCTTCGGATGATAGTTTCGCCTCGGTTTTACGAGCAATAATTTCCACACGATAGTTTTATAAAAGATTCATGTACTCTATGCATAATTTCAATATACATATGCTAAATTATCATCATTAAATAATCTTTTCTATACTTTTCGAAAAAAAAAAGTATTATAACGCACCAAACAGGAAAAGTTTTTTAATTAGATTAGGAAATTTTTCTAGAATCGTTTTTATCGCGATTTAGCTTCGATTTAGCAAAATGTGAATATCTTTGGAAAATATCATATTTCTAGTACAGATTCTTGCATAAGTACATTTTGTAATTTACATTTTAATTGCTCTGGAATAAAAGTAGAGATCGGTAAATAAAACTTTAAGTCCGTTTACTCACCGCCCACAATGACGAAGTCGTAATAGTATTCAGGCGGATCCGTTGGCTTTATACGCTCGCATGATTGAGATATACTTTCTTGAGACCGTACAAGTACGTCCAAGAGCGTCATAAAGGTCAAGTACTGCGATCCTGGACAGGCCTGGGCAAGGCTCGGCCCGAGATAGGGCACCGGGCAGGTTGGACCGATCGTCAGATTGTACGACATTCTGTGAACATCGAAATGCGATATAATCGCATTTTCATTAATTTACGATGGATGCCTATAAAATCGCGCGTTCTCTCATCTGTCTTCTCACATGTGTTTGTTAAAAGATAGTTGTCGCTATTGTTGTACCAGTTGGCCACTCTTGCATGTGACGAAATATCGTTTCTGTCACGAGTATTGCTCTCTAAACGCTATTGTCCGTGGTTTATCGTCGGTTTATCTGTCGGTCGTAAAAGGCGTCAACGAGAGCTTAACGATCGTAAATTGATTGCGATATTTGGTAAATTTTAGCAGTTTAAAAGCGCAATTTGACGCGGACGACGAAGCCACGAATCTACGTGTAGCACGAGAACGCGCAATTCCACGACTATCGAGCAAAATTATATTTAATGGCGTTCCCCCTCGCCGCTTCGGTATTCGCGTTTCGTGCAGTCTCTCTAGTTAGGTTTTTTTTTTACCACTGGTTAATGTCCGTATCTCCAGTGCCGGTTAATCGAAGTCAGGGACGTATCCAACTTATCTAGCGTAAAAGCGTCGATTTTCCCGCGCGAGGCACTTGCGAGATCTTTATTTGATTAGGACAAGCATTTGTATAACGGAAAAATATAAATCTTTCATATTTATTTATTTATTTATTTTTTGATGTTTATGTTTACATATCATAAGTTTTTTTCGCGGCGGCATTCGCAGCTGAAAAGTGCGCACATTTAACACAAATAAATAAATATTCGCTTTAATTAGCGGGATGAGTTAATAGGGTATTGTAATTAACCAAGCGTATTAATTAATTCATCCATAATTAACACGGTTACCTTTCCGTGTCTACCATTATTAATGCGCCCGCGCGCGCACGCATTTAGCGCCCGGAGGAACAAAGTACGAGCCACAAAGAGTCGGCGCGAGCTAGCAAAGTGCAATGATTATCACAATCAATTTGCATAATTCCTCCTTCGTGGCACCGTACCGAAAATCGCGTTATTACTTCCCCCCTTCCGCCGGAAAGGGATATCTCGAAAATCGTGCTCGACGTTAATTAACGCGCGCTAATTTCGAAACATCGGTATCCCTCGGGTCACGTGAATCACGCGAATGACACGAGAGAGAAAGAGAGAGAAAGATCGCGTTTTATATCTATCATTTATAATATACGCGCTCAAACTGCGTTGAACGTATATTGCAATACGGCCGATGCGATTTATTGCAACGATCTGTAACGCGAGATTGTGCAAAAAAAAAAAAAAAAAAAAAAAAAAAGCTGGAAAGAACGCACCCGTGCAGAAACGAAATGAAAAAAAAAATCGTTAAACTCTTTGAAACTTCTTTCGCATAAACGGTATTTCATTTCCAATCGGAAACGGGAGAGTTCGATGATAACCGAATCGTAGAATTCTGCATATCACAATGTCGCGGTATATTGTTGTCAAGAAGTACTATATTGACGAGTTTATTAGCGCGAAAAAGTTGGAGAATCGAAATAAAAGATTTCGTGCAATAATACCAACATTGTATTACACTCGACGTAAGAGTCGACACGGCTTCCCTCGTGATGGATTTCTTATCGATGTTGCACTTCGATACGACGCGTGACCCCGGTAAATACTTTGCACGTGCAGCGCGGCAGCAAAACGGGCAAAGTATAACTGTAAGACCTCTCACCGTAGAACGCCACTTTATAATTCATCTCCCACTCTGGGCTGGCTTCTATTCCCCGGCGCTTGTAGGTGCCCACCTAGATTACGCCGATGAATCCGAACGATCGTAAATTCTTCTTGTCGATGATGTTCTCGCGCTAATCGTCATGGAGATAAGGAACATGCCGCGTAATCTTTTTTCCCGAAACGGAGCTGCAGCGGGTTTCGGTATTTCCATCGACCAACGATCGATGACGATATGGCTTCAAAATAAAATAAAAGCTACGACGATAATAAATATATAATATACCCTCCTTTTCTTTTCTAGAGAAATATTGAGAAAATTACCTTTTAGATTCAAGTTTTTCAATTTTAAAAAAGAATCGTTTTCTTAAATTCTGACAAAAGTATTCATAATTATCGCTTGCGAAATGAACGTTATTTTCATATTAAAGGTATATGGGAAAGGATATTTTGCGGGATTTTAAGATTTTCAATATTGCGAGTTTCTAGCAGAAAATGAAACCGAAATAAAAGCTTTACGCGCTAAAGTTCTCACTTATTAAACTTCGAGTAAAAGTTTGCAGGCGATAAAGAATATATCAAATATCGTAAACGACAAGAATAAGAAGGATAATATGATATGTGAAAATTTATGCAATTTGATGTAAAGATTTGATTGATTTATTCATAAGTAGGTCATCTCTTGTTTCATAATCAAACATGTCGTTTTATCTCGTGCATATCGATTGTAGTATCGTTCATCGCAACCGTTTAGTTATCTCGATGCGACGCGGTGAATTTAGTGGAACAATTCGATCTTTGTATCAGGATTATTAACGCATTGTACGCGAGATATTCGTTGCCGGTAATACGCGAAACGCGCTGGCTTGCTCGTCATAAAATATAATATGCTCGCACACAATCGCCCAAATACGATAATGACGGATGCAAAAGCGACGATGAAGGCGCGCTTTTAGTACGTCGATCTAACGCGAAATCGATGTTACGCTCGCACAGCTATATCGTATCCATACAAGCGGTATAAATCATAATTCTATGCGATCTGGGCGACAGTGTGAATAAGGAACGTCGCGTTATTTACGCATATATACACACGTCGCGTTCATTTACTCACGAAGTCACCGAGCGTGAAGCGCCCGGTGTCAGCAAAATGCGGAACGACCATTTCTTCGTACACGCAATTGCAGCACGTGTAACACGTGCGTTACACGTGTGAATGATGACCCTTAAACACGCGTGCATATAAATCAAGGCTCTTTTAATTCCGCAAAACCATTTGTGTGCAATTAAAGCAACCGGCCCTTCGTTTCCGATTGACATGTTACAATTCTCACAGGTCACTTCGATAAGGGAGTGCGATTAGTCTCTACACACAGAAAGATATTATTCTATTGCTAAGTAAAATGATTATTCAGTTTACTTTACTTCTTTTAAGTAACAGTTATCTTTAACAAAGAATATTTTCTTAATAATAGTCTTAAAATAGACTTGTCACAAATTTTAGAAATACTCATTATCATGTACTCAAAATAAGTTAATATTTTCTTTTGAAGAATATTATAAAATTTTATCGAAGAAAAGTCAGATATGGTTAATTTAATGTAAGAAAATTTATTAGATCAGAAAAATTTAATGTATTTCTTTCAATTATATAATTTAATATTCTTGATTGAAGTATTAAATTTATTAGGATTCAGAATATATTTTGAATAAATTTGATGCTTATGATGAACTTATGATAGATTTGCGGATATATGAACTTTTGAAATACTTGAAACAAGTAATATTTACTTGTATATAGTACGTATTTTTCTGTGTGTAGAATCACGCAAATAAGACGGGAGTTACATGCATTAAATATATAGTACACAAACTGATCATCGTACTAAAATTGATATAAATAAAACATATCAATTTTTATTTGAATATTTCTTTGAGAATATATAATAATATATTTAACCATTTTTATCTTTTTTGTTTTGTCTATATATTTGTATATCTTTATAATCTATCTCTAATCTCAATGGTAGCTTTTATTGTCAATTGTGATTGCATGATGTAGCAATTATTATTGCGCATCATTAATTCTTGTTACGTGTGTCAGCGAATTATCTCTATATGAAATCCCTATGTATAGTATCATAGAGAAATATTTACAAAGGCAAAATACTTTGTAAATGATGCTGAATCAACTTGATTATTAGATAAGAGTTTTTATTGGCAATTAACGTCTCGTCACATACACATACACACGCCCACAATGTTAAAATATAAAATAGCACTAAAAATACATTCGAAAAACAGATAAATTTTATGTACATATCTAACATGTCATGTTGTATATATATGCAAAATCTTGATATGATGTGTATATTTAATTAGTCATTATAAGAAAATTATTAATACTCATCGAGTTCCTCTGGTTTGAAGATGTTGATTTTTGGCAAAAACAGAATTTCTATGCTCAGTTTCTGCGTCACAAAATTCGTTATTTCCTAAACAACAATAGCGAGTTCGATACACACATTATCAGAATTGTGATGAAATCTGTGCCTGCAAAAATCTCGCGCTATCGCCAACGGATATCCATTACCTTAATACACCGGATCAATTTGTCAAAATAATTTGATCTTTGCGGACAAATTATTACCAGCGGTATATGGCGAAAACGTCGGCGCGAAAAGTCGCGTCGCGTGCGCCATTAATGTCACAGTATAATAATATAATTATAGGTATAAACGAAAACGCATGCGCGCGCGCGTTGTCCCCCGCTGTTGATTACAATTTACACGTGCGTATCATGCGTGCTAAATGAGAACTCTTTCGTTCGTTTGCACAGCGGGATATGGCCATTACCGAAATTAGCGTTGCCGATTCGATTACATGTGATTATTATTACGTCATTCGTCGAATGAGAGCGTGCGCGATTATATGCGTTTGATGCATTCGTCGAGATCAAAGGCGTGTCGGCGAATCGTCGGTGTTTTCGCGATGCCTCTAATGGGAGATCATGGAATTTTATGATGCTGGCTCTCGTCGTCGAAAAACACGCATTACGCGATCGACAGCGATATTGGATTTTTCTGGGATAAATCAGTAAATATCCGAGTGGCGATGGGATTTCGCGGTTTGCAGAGTTAATAATCGTCGTTCGCGATATTAGAGAATGTTAAAAAAAATGAGACAGTTCGAGAATAAGATTAAAAGTTTCAAGTCTCACTGATTACTGATGTCTGTTTTTATACGTACAAAGTGGAAATTCTCTGCGCAATTATGAGAACTGGTTTAAGGAGGAACTGGACGGATCAACTACGTCAAAAGTTAATAAATCTAATACATTTCGAGATTCATAAATTTGACATTGCGTAAAAAACACACTTTGGCTTTTTAAAATATAAAACTAATAATTAATAATTAATTTATGAGTTAAAGTAAAGATTTGTTCTGTGGAATTAAAATTTTTATTTTCATGAAGTTTTGTGTTGTATAGTTAAAATCGTGATACAATTATTATAAAAAAGATAGTTTAATATAAAATAATATTTACGATTTTTAGAAAAATTATATTGTACAGATTAAATATTTATTTTAATTCACAAATTACTTATCAATTTTATATTTTAAAAGACTAAAAGTGCTTGGCGCAATGTCAAATTAGAATCCTCGTATTATTTAGTTTATTTCTGGTCAACTAAAAATACGCAAAGGGTACAAAGCTTAATA